TAGTTTTTTTATTTCATCTTTCCAAAGAGATCCAGAGGTAAGGGATCCATGTGCCTTCGACTAGAAGGAAGGGAGAAAGGAAAGAAAGGAAAGAAAAGGAAGAAGAAGAAATGCCTGAAGGGACAGGGCACGTTTTTCCTGAAACTCTGTGGGAATTACTTCCTCTATCCAAAATCCCTTCTAGGGTCCAGCAGCATTTTTGTCCATATTTTAGGGCAGGATATTCCTCAGCAGGGCAAACTTTCCCACTTTTTATCAAAACCTGGAAGACCATTCTAATTTCTTCCACTTTCAAACTTCCAAGCTGGGCAGGTGCTGCACCTGGCAAATTTTCAAGGATTTTTCTCCAATTTCTCCTCAAAAATCCACATAATAAGGTATAGAAACGCACCTAAATGAACAGTATCGTGTATGAAATACAAAAATATCAGCTCCAACTGGTCTGGAATGAAGAGCCTGATTGACTCCCATCTATCCTAGCAGGAATAAACATCCTGGCGCTCTTTGCAGATCCCACAAAAGTCCATTTGTCACACTCCCCATGGCACAAAGGCCACTTTCATCTGCTCCCAGCTCCCGAAAAACTCCAGCCCTGCAGCTCCAAGAGCAGATTAAAATAGTTTCACTCACCCCATCTCAACTGCTGCGTCTTTAACTGGAAATTCCTCAAACTCCAGGGCTCAATCCAGCTCAGGATGTTCTTATTCATCAGCTGAATCACTGTCGGGAGCAGAGGTGGAACCAAGGGTCATTTATATGGGAAAGATGGAATGGGAGGGGAGGAAAAGCAGGGTGCAGCCTCCCCACAATAAAGTTGCGTGGTCTAGGGGAGGTATAAAGACTTAATTCCCCCCCCCAAAAAAAAGCCTTTGGACAGGACAGGGATGTTTGGCACAGAAGAGAATTCCTGCTGGTTTCGTCCAAGGAAGTTTTGTAAATGACAGCCAGGCCTGGGAATGACTGGAAGCTTCTCCAAACTCTTCTCCATCCAAAGCTGAGCAGCTTCCTGAGTTTTACACCCTCCAATTTGAACACTTCTCCTCCCTACATCTTTCCAGCTGCCTGGAAAAGACCCCCCCCCCCAAACCCAGGATTATGCCACTTTAAGGAAAAATTTCTAAGGCACACAAGCTGTAAATCCTGATTTTGCAAATCCATACAATGATACAGCAGCTCCGAAATCCAAGTGACCTCGTTTGGAGCAGCCAGCTCTCAATTAATTAACTTCCAAGGGGAGGGAGAGCACAAGGAACAGGACTGAGATTCCCAAAGTCCATAAAAAAGCCCCAAGCAGAGGAGTTTTTTTTGGTTGCTGTAATTGTTCATCCAGGGAATTTTAACAGTTTCCAAAACGTAGGTTTTATTTTTTATGCCTCACACTTTTGGTCATTGGGAAGATCATTTTCACCCTTCCCACTTTTCCTCCTGGCACAGCACTTCCCTTAAATGCCATCATTGCACAACTGCTTCTACCCAGCCCTCTGGAAAGGGAAGGACACAGCCCAGAGAAGTTTCCCTTTCTTACCACCCTTTTTCCAGCAACCACAGAGGGATTTACACATTCCCTATCTCTGGCATTCGGATCTGGCTGTACAGGTAGCAGGCAAAAAGTGCCCAGTGCCTTAATCTAAATGGGAATTCAGGTCAAAACAGGATTTTTTTAGGTCAGCACTGACAAAGTCAGTACCCGCAGTACATAGTCCATACCCTTAAATCCCTGATTTTGACCCTTGGTGTAAAATTTTGGAAAGCAGAGCTGCCCACTCTGAAACGTCCAGTTTAAATTCCCATTTAAAGGGGGAATTTTATCCTGCTCCTTGCTAAAGGGTTTTGGCTGCAGAAATTCCAGGTTATTTGTATCATTTACCATGTAACAGTTGCTTTTCCAAGTCTCTTGTCCCTCTTGGGCATTCCCGACCCCCTCAGCCATTCCCAGTCCAAGCTGGCGCTGCTGGAATTTCCCCAGCAGCTTTAAGACCCCCGTGCAACTTTTATGACCCTGAAAACCAACACCTGCCACAACAAACACCTTCCCCCAGCTCAGGTTTCCAACTTGGAAAGCTTCTTCCAGCAGTGTCCACAGGATACACATTTCAGCCAAGCCAATGCCAGAATCACGGAGAGTCCGAAGCTTTCCAAGAGCCACTTCCCACAATTTCATTATCTCCCATTTAAGAACACTCAGCCTGACCATAAAAACTCGGCTGCTTCTCCCTGTCCAGCCAGGAGGATGCAGCAACTCATCCCCACTAAGCTTCATCCAGGGGGGAGATGAATATTCCCACCTTGGAATACTCCTTTCCTTTACAACCATTCCCCAGAGTTTTGCTGCTTTCATGTCTCAGGGTTCTGTGTCCCACCTTTGTGAATCACTGTGTGATTTCCCACCTGGAGCAGGCTCTAATGACCATGGTGTGCACCAGGCTCGGCAATCCCCATTCCCGTATTCCCAGTGCCAACTGAAGCCTGTCCCAAATACACCAGCAGGTACTAATTCCCAGAATTGGGCACAGCGGGAATTCTGGCTGAGCAGCCTGGCAGCATCCCAGCTCCAAGATCTCGGAGCGACATCTCCCTTACTTTTACAAGGATATCTCACTTCTGCAGCTGCCCGCGATCCTAAATTTGGGGATTTTACGGCCACGGCTCAGCATCCGCCCGCGTTGCTCAAGTCAGGTACCGTTCCCTGCGGGAAGTAATAAAAGCCGGGAGCGAGAATCCCTGTGTCACACCCACAGCGCAGCTTCTTCTCCCCGGACATCCAGCAGCACCGCTCCCGCCTCCCACCGCAGCATCCCGAATCCCGAACGGCGGGATCACCTTCACGCCTCGCACCTGCCCGGCCAGGATGGCGGCTTTCCAGAGGCGCAGGTGGAAGCCCAGCGCTTCCCCCGGGGCGCAGGCCACAGGGAGCGGGGCCCTCCCGGCGGGAATGCCGCGCTTCCTGCGGGATCCAGACCCCCGGGCGCCGCGGGCCTGCAGCCCAGCGGGGCGGGGGGCGGCGGCGGGCGCTCCCCCGGCCCTGCCAGCGCCCTCCCGGCTCCCCCGCACCTGCCGCAGCGCCGGCCCCCGCCGCCGCGCCATCCCCATCGCCGTCCCTCACCTCGCTCCCGCCGCCGCCGCCCCGGGAGCGCCGCGGCCGCCGCCGCCTCCTCCATGCCGGGGGCCCTGCGGCCCCCGATTCTCCAACGCCGCCTCCGCCCTGCCGGGGCCGCCCCCGCCTCGCCGGGGCCGCCCACTGCGTCAACTGCGTAAGGGCCGCTACGCAACCTGCGGTCGCCACGGCAACGAGGGGTGCGGGGCGCGGCGGCGCCGCCTGGTGGCGGCCGGCGGTAGCGGCGCGGGGCGGGGCAGTGGCGGGCCGGCCGCGGATTCCAGCGGGGAATTCTCGCCGGGATGAGGGCGAGCCCCGCCGGCTGCGGGCAGGGGCCTCTGCCGGGCTGACGGGCACCTGCGCTACCGATAGTACCACGGAAGGATCCCACAAGAGCCAATTCTCTCGGAAAAGACCTCCAGGACCACCGAGTCCAACCTGTGGCAGTTCCCAGCTTGTCACCCAGCCCAGAGCACTGAGTGCCGCATCCAGTCATTGCTTAAACACCTCCGGGGATGGGGACTCCATTCCTTTAATACTCCTTTCCTTTAAAACCGTTCCCCAGAGTTTTGCTGCTTTCATGTCCCGGGGTTCTGTATCCCACCTTTGTGAATCACTGTGTGATTTCCCACCTGGAGCAGGTTCCAAAGACCATGTTGTGCACCAAGCTCGGCAATCCTTGGGCAGCCCCTTCCTCTGTCTCATCACCCTTTCCATGAAGAAATTCCTTCTGATGTCCAACCTGAACTTCCCGTGGCACAAGTTTGGGCCATTTCCTCTTGTCCCACACCTTGTTCCCTGGGAGCACAGCCTGGCTCAAACCTGCCTCCCCCTCAGGGAGCAATAAAAATTCCCCTCAGCCACGCCTGGGGCTCTCCCGACATCTTTTCCCTCCGGAAAACGACCTAGCACAGGACTATGGTCTCCCTCATGGACAGGACCTGGCATGCTGCTTTCAATGCCCAGCATGGAAAAGCAGTGCTTTCCTATCAGGATAAAACATTCCCAAGAAAGATGGAGAGAGCCTATCCACAAGGGTATTGGGTGACAAGAGGGAATGGCTTCCCATTGACAAACAACAGGGTTAGATGGGATATTGGGAAGAAATTGTTAGACCCTGGAATGGATTTTGCTGGGAAGGCGTGGCTGTCCCATTCCTGGAAGGGTCCCAGGCCAGGTTGGACCAGCCTCAGAGTGACCTGGGCTAGTGGAAGATGTCCCTGCCCACGGCAGAGGGGCTGGAACTGGATGAGCTGTAAGATCCCTTCCAACCAATCGCCCTCTTCACAAAAAAGCCCCCGTGAGGATGAACACACCACACCAACCATCCCGTCTGGGAGGAAGGACAGCGATTCCCTTTGAACACGGCAGCTGCCATCATCCAAGGACACAACTGAGATGCTCCGACTGCAAAAAAAAAAAAAAAAAAAAAAAAAAAAAAAAAAAAAGCATGGAAAAATAAATCTCTGTCCCAGAAAAGCCGATCCAGCAGGGAATAGCAGCACATCCTCGCCTGCCCATTCCTCCTTAAAGCAAGTGGAGCAGGCTGCAAATGGTCTGCTGGATGATATCACCGTACCTGGGAAATAAAACAGCCTGACAGGGGCGGACAAACATTCAGGAAAGGCTTTGAAGCTCTGGAATTCATTTGTGCTGAAGCCTTTGTATCCCGTTCAGGCAGAAAAATCCCACTCACGCTCATTCCGAGTCCCTTTATCTCCCCAGACAGGTGCAAAGTGGCTCCGGTTTGGATGAAAAGCTGCTGCCAAATTTAGCATTCCGACAACTCGTTTCATCCAGCCTGTGGCACTTCCAAGGTCTCCCTTCGGCACGATCCACTCCCGGCCGGGCAGGCACCCCTGGAAGCCCCGAAACCTGGAGCAGACAGAGGGAAGAAGCTCAGGAAGACTGGAAATTACTCTTTTATTCGGGGAAATACAATCAGAAGCCATCCGAGGCTTTCCAAGCGGTGGGGTAGAGCACATCCCAGCCCAGATCCTGCCAATTAAGGGACACAAGGCGATTAATCCGATACAGCTCAGGATTTCTGCATTCCAGCAGCTCCAGCTGCCTGTTTCCAGCCTGGCTCCACCGAATTGCAAAGGCCAGACCGCATTTATAGCCCAGCTCCAGCCTTGGGATTCATCCCAGTGACCCCCAGGGCTCTGCTGCCTGACTCCTGTGTGGCAGTGACACCATTTACAGGCAATTTTGGAATGTTTTGGATAAACTGGATGCCCTCTAAAGCATTAAGGGAGGGATTAATGCCCTCAGAAATCCCATTTTTCCCCTGCTGTCATGACACAGAGGGTGAGTGGCGAACCATTTAAGGGAATTAAAGAATTAATTTGAGCCTGTCACAAAAGACGTGATTTCCCATGATTTTCTCATGGATCTGTCCCTACCTCCAACCTCTGGAGCAAATCCATTCATTTCAGAGCTTCCCAGCCTGTGGAAAAGGGTTGAGTCTGGGTTTAAGTGCCTGGAGCCATGGCGTGGTGATGTGCACACATTCCTGGGAATCCTACACCTTCAGAGGGATGTAAGGGAGAGTTAGAGCATCCCAAACATCCATCAGCTGGGTTATCCCTGTGGAGAACTCGGATGCAGCGTCTCAATCAGGGTATCACCAGCCATTTCACAAGGAAACCTCCAAAGGCCCCACTGGCTCAAGGAATTGTTATTCCCTACTCACCTCTGGATGGATCTGTGCCCTTTGTGCAGGAATGACCTGGGAATATGAGGGAGAGGGAATTTTGTGGTGTTCTTGCAGCTGGAGCATCATTCCTCAACACACGGATACGGCGTGGGGCTGTCCCACACCACAGCCGTGGAATTCTCCATATCAGCTCCCAGGAAAAGTCTGGACCATTGTAGGCAGCCTTGGAGCTCTGGAGATCCCAGAAACGTGTCAGGAAGGATTCCATCAACAAAGAGCCCATCCAGCTGCTTGACCTGAAAAAAAGCCAACAGATTCCAGGGTTAAGGATTCTCCTAAACCTAACAGCAAACCAACCCCTCCTCTGGGGAATTTGGACAAGGAACAAGGCTCCAGGAATAGCTGGGAACATGGGAAGCTTTTTATTATTATTCAGTTTGTTGTCATTGCCACCGCCCCCAGGCGCAGCACATCCAATCCCGCTGCTCCAAAGCCCTGCTCCTGTTGGGCTCCCAGTCGGAGTCAGACGCTCTGTTACTCCCAGGGTAACGAGCCCCTCTCCTCCTCCCCCATCCCAACCCTGCCAATTTCCCTCAGCTGCTCCATTAGGATTACAATAAATCATAGGGAAATAGCGTGCACAAGTCTGGGAGTGCCACAGTCTCCCTGGCACAGGGATTCCAACATCCAGGGTATCCAAACCACCTCTCTCCTCAACCCCTGCAAACACCAGGCTGGGCTCCATCACCCCTGGAGCAGGCACAGGCTGTTCCAGCTGGCTGAATTCCAGGGAGTGACAGTAACAAGGGTCTTAGGAAAGTGTTTTCGTCGTTCTCAAAGGGGACAGGCCACCAGGGAAAGGTTGGCAGCAGCGAGTTCCAGCCCCTCACTCACTGTCTCTCACTCTCTAGGGAATATCAGTTATTGAAGAATTGAGGTTGGAAAAGCACTCCAAGATCACGGAGTCCATCTATTCCAAGGCCACTACTAACCCATGTCCCCAAGTGCCACATCCACATGGGCTTTAAATCCCTCCAGGGATGGGGACTCCGTCCCTGGAGCCTGTTCCAGTGCCTGACAACCATTTCCATGAAGGAGTTTTCCTCCATACCCAATCTAAACCTTCCCTGGCACAAGCTGAGGCTGCTCCCTCTGTGCAGAATTCCACATGAAATTCCCACCAAACCACACAGTTGCCAACCTGAATTTGGGAAGCACTTTTAAAAACCACACCAACAGTCATCCTTGTGCCCCATTCCCATGTCACCAAGCAGGAAGTGCCTGTGTTTGCTTCCATCCCCGTGGTGGCTGTGCCTTCCCAGCCCTCCCTCCCTCCCTCCCCAGCATGATTCCCGCCCGCGACTCTCTGGAGGCATCAGCCTCCATCACCTCCTACCAGAGTGCTGCTAATCCAGTGCCTCCAGACTGTTCTTGTTCCTCAAATCCTTCATTATCCCAGCAGATCTCTACAGAAACCTGCTTTTCTCAGATGTCCCCCAAGCCAGCAACTCCTGGCTCGACTATCCATGTCATTCCCAGCCCCTGGGAAGCTCCCAAAGCAGGGATGAGTAGCTGGCAGTGTCCCCCCAGCAGGAGCAGCTGCTGCAGCTCTGCAGAGAAACAGCATCACTCAAACCTTCACTAAAAATCATTCCCTAATGGAGAAGCTTCTCCTCCACTCCAGGTGTTCAGGAAAATCTCCCCCTCCAGCTGCCTCGGCTTTCCGTGCCTCCTCCAGCACCAGGAAGGGATTCGGGGGGCCCAGGCTGCTATCCCACCCCTCAGCCTGAATCCCTAAAAAGAACTTAACTCATAGGGGAGACATCCCAGTCAGAGCCAAACCTAGGGAGAGCAGGTCCAGGGGTAAGCTGGAAGCCCAAATTCAGGCTCAGGCTGGCAGACTGGAGGCTGGAACACCAGCCAAAGGCAGAGCAGGAATTGGGAAACCTCTGTCAGGCACCTGAAGGGATCAGACATTGAATTCTGGAATGGTTTTGGCTGGAAAGGGCCTTAAAGATCATCCCATTTACCCCCTGCCAAGGGCAGGGACGCTTCCCACTATCCCAGGTTGCTCCAAGGCCCATCCAACCTGATATTGAACACTTCCAGGGATGGGGCAGCCACAGCTTGTCTGGGAGATCCATTCCAGTGCCTCACCACCCTCATTATTTCTTCCATAAATTCTCAAGGGCTGGGCAGCACCAGGTCCCACTGCAGGTAGGAAGGGCGGAGCAAGGCTGGCACATTCCCAGCTCTTCCCTCAGGCACAGCTCTTCCCATCCCCACCTGCACAGGCTGGTGACCTGTCCCTTCCTTAGGAACCCCCTTTCCAGCCTCAGAGCCGCTTTCCTAGCGGGATCCCTCCCTTTTCCAAGAGGTTCCCACGCCGTGGGCTCACTCTTGGCACGTAGTAAACACACCCGTGCACACACGGATGGGTTTGACTCCACAGGAAAAGCCTGGAGAAGATTTCTCCCACAGGTTGCATCCTGGAATTCGGCACAGCCCTCGCTGCTCAGGATTCCAAGCACAAACTCCTCTTTCCAGCTGCTTTGCTAAATTGGTGCCAGATCTAACTCTGGAAGCCAAGCCTCGGAGACTTGCTATCATTCCTGCCAGCACTTCCCCCTCCCAAGGACATTATCCAGCATTATCCAAGCTGTGACTCCTCAGCCCAGAAATTTCTCCCCGGGAAGGAGCCATTGCCATGGAAAAGGACCATTAAATAACAGTTCACTGGGGTTTCTCACCACTGCTTAGCAAAGCTCAGGGCATCTTCCTGCCTGGCAGCTCCAGGTGGCTTTTCCTTTGACAAAAATGAGAGGCTAAAGCAGTGCTCCAGGCTGTCGGGATATTTGCCAGCATCCTCCACACTCCCCCTTGGACAAACCCATCTTTCCAAAAAGCTTTTTCACCTCAGGTTGTGAAAGCCTCGTTGTTCTGCAGGGAATTAAAACCAGAAAAATGTGGAAATGAACCCTAAAGGCTTCAAGGGGAGGAAAATGCAAACCCCCGAGCTCCCCTGAGTCACAGGGATGTGCTTGCAGCACTGGCAGCCGCTGGAATTCCCAGCTCCATCCCAGCCCTGGCTAATCCAGGTGCAACAACAACGTGTCATTTTCCTTATCTGCTTCACCCCCGCCAAAATTCCTTCATGTTATTCCTCCTCCCCACCCACCTTTTGAATGCCCTTGGCTCCATTCTTCTTCGGGAGGAGAGCTCCAGCCCAGGAATGAATCAGGACTTTAGCAGGAGCTTTAGGGATGTGGGATGCCTTCACCCCCACAAGCAGGAGCTCCATGGCACGAACACAACTTCCCTGGCTGAGACTCCAAACCACAGGAATACACCCGGAGGATGAGCTGCTTCCCGATTTCCAGGAGCCTGCTCACCTCCTGTGAGGGGAATGGCTGCGGCAGGACAGGGAAATTTAGGGATCAGCTGTGTTGTTCCTGTCAGTGCTGCTGGGAAGCAGTGTCGGAGAGCTCTCCATTGCCAGGCAGCACCTGCAGCCTCCCAGGCGCTCTGGGAAGCCTGGAATGCTGCTGTCAGATGTGGGCACAGCACGGAGGATGAGGATGCTCCGTGGAGGATTCAATCCTTCCCGCAGGCCACGTCTCTGGACATCAGTGGGATGCGACTGGAGAGCAGCAGCTGGAGCCGAGGCACTTGGATAATTTCATTAGGTCAAATCCCTCCCTCCCCTGCTTCCTCAGGATCCTGCTCTTGCTTCTGGAGGCAGGTGGACTGAAGGAAGAGGTTTCCCGTTAAGGATTCCTTCCTGGCTCTGCTCCTGGCTCCTTTCCCGCTCCTCACACCAGGCTGCAGAGCCATTCCCCACTTCTCCCGGACCTCAAAGCCTTGTCTAACCCACTTGGCTTCATCCCAGCTCCAAACTGCCGGAGGGGGAAGCTCAGCTCTCACCGGGAGACGCCGCTGCCCGCGGAGATCCCAAATCCTAAACTGCTGCACAGCTCCTCCACAAAGTCCTGGCAGAGACCTCGGGATCACAGCCCAGCAGGCAGGAGATGGACCTCAGGACAAAGCAGAGGTTGGAGACCAATAACCAGGAATAATTATTCTAAGGAGAAGTTCTCAACTCCCTTCTGTACAAGTCCATGGAATATAACAGGGAATTTTACCTTAACCCAGAGAAGAGGCGGCTCACGGGAGCCTTCTCCCTCTCCATGATTCCCTGATGGGAGTCAGGCTCTGCTCCCAGGGAACAAGGGACAAGACTCAAGTTGCCTCAGGGGAATTTCTATTTGGATTTTAGGGAAAATTCCTTCACAGAAGGGTCGAATCAGGCTGCCCAGGGCAGTGCTGGAGACCCCATTCCTGGAGGGATTTAAAAGCTGAGCAAAAGTGGCATTTGGGGACATGGATTAATGGTGGCCATGGCAGAGTCTGGGTGGCTGAACTCGATCTTGGAGGCGTTTTCCAGCCTGAACAATTCCTGAAGGAGAGGAACTGGAAAAGATCATGCTGGAAAGAAAAAAGCAGCAGGCAGGAAAGTGAGCAAACAGCCCCTGTCCAAGCTTTGTGCAGGAATTCCTGGGAGAGGAGCGTGCTCTGATGTCAGGACTCCGTGCCACAGTGACAGGAGATGGGAATGATCCAGAGAGGCAAAAAGGGAAGCGAGAGAGGGTCTGCCAGGCAGGATCCGCCTCAGACACTTAATGAAGGAGAAAAGGACGGATGGTTGCTAAGGGAAATGGGACAGATGGCTGGCACCGGGAACTTGCTGACTCTCAGAGACTCCAAACTCTTTTTTTGGGAAGTGGCAGGGCCAAGCAGGCAAACACACAGCGGCCAAGCCCAGATGACCACTTCCCCTTCCCCCCGCTCCGAGCGTCAGGACGGATCACGCCGGAGCGGAAAAGGTCACGGAGGCAGCGGGAGCCAAGGCTCATTTGTGCTTCTGCCCATCACCAGCGCTCCCCCCGCCAGCCCTTCGGCCTCCCCTGCTCCAGAGGCCACAGGCACCATCCCACAGGCAAATCCCAGCAGGGCCTGGGACGGTGACCGGGCAGAGCTGGGCTCCCAGAGAGGGAAAACCGCAGGATGCTGGCTCTGGAGCTGCTGTCTGTGAAATCTCATGGCTCCTCTGGACATGCTGTCTCCCAGATCCGTTTACACCTCTCCCTGACATTTAAAACCATCTGAGCCTTTTGGCTTCTGCTGCTGTCATCCCTGTGCCAGGGCTTTTCTGGCTCTAAAAAAAGCCTGGGAGTTGATTTCCCGGCAAACGCAGCCCTCCCAACAGGTCTCCAACCGCGGTGGCAGGGCAAGGGAAAAGGGGGAGAGGGCGGGAATCGCTGCTGCCATGGGGGTGGGAGACCTGCCAAAAGTCTGTCAAATCCTGACGGCCACAAACAAGGCTCTGAAAGCAGGAGCTGGGAACAAAAGAGGGGAAAGAATCCCTTGGCAGCAAAGGTGGTGGAGCTCCAAAGCTGAGGCACGCAGCACTGCGTGCTCATCCGGGCTGGGATTTCAGGGATCCAACGGGAAGAGCAGGGAGTTTGGGGAACCTCTGCCCACCTCAGGCTGTCCCCAGGCACTGGGCACAAAACACAGGGACTTGGGAAGGAAGCACCTGAAAGGTCTCCAAGAGAGCTGGAGAGGGACTCTGGACAAACTGGAGTGACAGGACAACAGGAATGGCTTCTCACTGCCAGAGGGCCGGGTTAGATGGGATATTGGGGAAAATTCTTCCCTGTACGGGGAGTGAGGCCCTGGAATGGATTTCCCAGAGGAGCTGTGGCTGCTCCATCCCTGGAAGTGTCCAAGGCCAGGTTGGCTGGTGTTTGGAGCAACCTGGGATAGTGGAATATGTCCCTGCCCTTCCAACCCAA